GATGCGAACTACTGTATGTGTGAACCTTGACCACATCATGCTGAATGAAATCAGTCAGTTGCAAAACGATCAATGTTATATACTCTGTTATATGAAAGAAGCAAATACACAGATACCAAAAATTACTACTGGTACTAGCAGAGATTTAATGACCGTGCCTGCAACAGCGTGTTCACACGTGACAGCAATTGTGAGGATGGCACAAGACCAGGCAATGTCTCGTTCTGTCATGTGTGGGGTCGCTGTGAGTTGGAACTGACACGGCAACACTTAACAACAACTACAACAGGAGTAAAAGGGAGGGGGAAAGGGGTTTGTTTGCTTGCTCACCAGGCACTGAGTTGACGTTCTTGGTGGGAGAACGACTTGGAACAGGAGAGAGAATGGTTGTAGAGCTTGAAGAAAGAACGTGATCATGTCACTAACATCATCCGTGTGAAAACTGCAGAGGACCTCTGTCTTGTTACGTCTATTGTCACCGCAAAAGAAAAACAAAACTCCTGAGTCTATTCTCCTTAATGATGTTGCTAAATTCTAATACATGGTCTGGCAGTTCCTGACTTAGTGGCAAAGTCCTGATACATTAAACATAATAAAAATAAATAACAAAACATTTCAGGAGACATCGTAGTCAAAAGTCATCGGAAATCTGTTGTGTGTCAGAAACTTCCCAGAATTCTATTCAAACCAGTGTTCTTTCTTTAAGAATGTAACGGCGTCGGCAAAGCCTGAGCGGTACAGGGACTGCATTTTCTCCTGGTCTGGTGGGAAAAGGGCTTGATGAAGTCTCACCAGGTTGGCCACAGACAACTAGAACCGAAGGACAGGAAGTTTAGCCGTTGGGTCTAACAGCACAGGCAGACAGCTGTGTAGTTACACAATCCACATTTACCACAGAGAAAACTGGGAATGTAAAAATCAGGAGAAACATATTAACCTTTATCAAGTGGACTTCACCCCTGACTAAACATGGCTTTTTCAACCTCAACAAGGTCAATGTTTGAAGTTTCATAATGCTACCCCAGGGGACCTTCGTGTGCACTGTAGGGTGTCAATTGCCCCAGCTGAGAACCACTAGACCTGATGAAGGTAATGGATAGTGTAAAGTAAATTCTTCATTTGGGTCTCTAAGTTTCCTCTGCACTATTTTTATATACGTAACCATCTCCGTGTTTTTAAACAAATACCCGATCATTCAACACAAAGAGATCTGTGTAGGAAGGAGTACTGCTGGACTGCTCCTTAGAAGTCAGGACGGCCAGACTTCACCTCTCATGCTTTAGACACGCTAACGTGAGGGACCAGTTCCTGGAGAAGGACATCATGTTTGGTAATGCGGAGGGTCAGAGGTTGCCATAGGACTTGGCAGTGCTTTGTTCTGTTGTGCATACGGTTGATATGAGTGGGTACTGACTCGAGGGCACCTAACAAGAGCAGCACCTTAGAACTGACTCTGACCTTCCCGCCAGCTCACCGACCTGCCGGAGAGAGGAGTGGCAGAAGGCCTGCGGTGCGGTGAAAGGACTAGTGGGCAGGCTGCTTGTTCTTCGAATACAGGGAGCCGGGGCATGTGTGCACCAGGCATGCTGCAGAGCAGAAGCAGGAAATGTGCAACACGGAGCAGACACAGGTAGCACATAAAGTGGGGGTCCTGGGGACACAGATGCCTGCGACGGCAATGACTGTCTCTCACCATTAGTTCCTGTTTGGAGACGGTGATGTACAGCTGCCTCTGCGCTCTGTCGTGGGGGGAGATGTCCACACGGCCACTGAAGGGGGAGACGGTCACAGTGCGGCCCACAGGCAAGACGGGCAGGCTGTTGGTGAGGCCGCCATCCACCCACAGCTGCCGAAAGAAGCGCTCACGTCAGGACACAGCCGGAAGTGTGTCTCCACAGAACGGTCTTGGCGCATACCAACAGCCCTGTCCGGGAGATGCTTCCAGATCATTGGTGTGGCGCTGTGTGATAATGCACTAGACCAAAAGGTTGGTTTGAACCACAAGGTCAGCGGTTCAAACTCACCAGCTGTTCCTCGGAAACCCTATACAGAGTTTACGTGGCTGTTCTTAAGTGTCGTCGAGTTGGTTCCGACCCATAGCGACCCTGAACAGGATTTCCGAAGCTTTACATCTTTACGGGAGCAGAAAGCCTCATCTTTCTCATGTAGAGCAGCTGGTAGTTTCGAACCACCAATCTCACTTATTTAACAACAACAACATGTGATTAAAAGACTTCTAGTACCACCACAGGTAACTGTTTGGTTGCTAACCCAAAGGCTGGGGTTTCTAACCCACCCCACCGCTTCACAGGAGAAAGCCTTGAAGATTTGCTGCAGCAGAGATGACAGCATAGAGAACCCTCCGGGGCAGCTCTACTCTTGTCACCTGGGGTCACTAGGAGCTGGAATCAACTCAACGGCCCCCGTGACACTGTTCTGAAGCAGAAACCCTGCTGACACAGGGGGTTAAGCACTGGGCTGCTAACGGACAGGTCAGCGGTTTGAACTCACCGGGTACTCTGTGGGAGAAAGATGAGGCCTTGTGCTCTGGTCAAGATTCCTGACTTGGGAACCTTCTGGGATGGGGCTACTCCAGTCTACCGCATCACTGAGAGTTGGACTCAACTCGACAGCAATGGATTTGGGGTTTTTTGGTTTGTTTTGGAAGCAAACAAATCTTTGCAGAAATACGGTGGTGGTATTCCGTCAATCCGTGTACAAAAGCACTCTGTACAGGGTTTCCGAGGCTGGCAATCTTCAAGGGAGCTGAAAACCTCATCCTTTTCCCACAGAGGTGCTGGTGGATTCGAACTGCTAGCCTTCCAGGGCTCATTGTACACACACATACGAGGTGGCTTCAAAATGTTCATGGCAAAATGTAATGAAAAGATCATGGGATTTTTCCAAAAACTTTTTG